TGGGTCTTGGGTTCCTCCTGGTGCACAACAATTCCGGCCTCATGTGGTGAGAGTATGCAGCCAGTTCCTAGAGGATGAAGAAATTGGTACCCTTGAATGGCTCCCAGACCCGCCTGACCTAAATCCAATAGAATACCTCTGGGATATCATGTTTCGGTCCATCCGACACTGCCAGGTTACACCTCAGACTGTCCAGGAGCTCGGTGATGCCCTGGTCCAGATCTGGGAGGAAATACCCCAAGACACCATCCGTCGTCTCATTAGGAGTATGCCCTGACATTGTCAGGCATGTATACAAGCACGTGGGGGCCATACAAACTACTGAGTACTATATTGAGTTGCTGCAATTAAATTTCAGCAAAATGGACTAGCCTGCTGCATAATTTTTTCATTTTGATTTATCGGGTGTCTTTAAAATCAGTCCTTTGTAGGCTGGTAATATTCATTTCCATCAAACAAAGGGACATCCTTGCGTTCCTAACACATTACCCAGTCCATATCAGTATAGATATCCAGCATGATATTTCCCCCCATTGAGATCTGATGTGTTTTCAAAGTGTTCCTTTAATTTTTTTGAGGTGTGTGTGTACACACATACAGTGAAGGAAATAAGTATTTGATCCCCTGCTGATTTTGAATGTTTGCCCACTCACAAAGACATGATCAGTCTAAAAATCTAATGGTAGGTGTATTGTAACACAGAGACAGAATAGCAACAAAAAAATCAAAAGAGATGCGTGTCTAACAAATTATGCACTGATTTGCATGTTCATGAGGGAAATAAATATTTGATCCCCTTCATAAAACATGACTTAGTACTTGGTGGCAAATCCTTTGTTGGCAATCTCAGAGGTCCGACATTTCCTGTAGTTGGCCACCAGGTTTGCACACATCTTAGGAGTGATTTTGGCCCATTCCTCTTGGCAGATCCACTCCAAGTCATTAAGGTTTAGTGGCTGACATTTGGCAACTTGAACTTTCAGCTCCCTCCACAGATTTTCAATCGGATTAAGGTCTGGAGACTGGCTAGGCCACTCCAGGACCTTAATGTGCTTCTTCTTGAGCCACTCCTTTGTTGCCTTGGCTGTGTGTTTTGGGTCATTGTCATACTGGAACACCCATTCATGACCCATTTTCAATGCCCTGGCTGAGGGAAGAAGGTTCTCACCCAAGTTTTGACAGTACATTGCCCCGTTCATCGTCCCTTTGATGTGGTGCAGTTGTTCTGTCCCCTTAGCAGAAAAACGCCCCCAAAGCAGAATGTTTCCACCACCATGTTTGACAGTTGGGATGGTGTTCTTGGGGTCACAGGCAGCATTCCTCCTCCTCCTCCAAACACGGCGAGTTGAGTTGATGCCAAAGAGCTCGATTTTGGTCTCATCTGACCACAACACTTTCAACCAGTCCTCCTCTGCATCATTCAGATGTTCAGTGTCAAACTTCAGATGGGCTTGGACATGTGCTTTCTTGAGCAGAGGGACCTTGCGGGCACTGCAGGATTTCAATTCTTGTTGGCGTAGTGTGTTACCAATTGTTTTCTTGGTGACAGTGGTTCCAGATGCCTGGAGATTCCTCACTGTTCTCATGATCATTGACACTCCACGAGGTGAGATCTTGCATAATGCACCAGGCCTAGGGAGACTGACAGTTGTTTTGTGTTTCTTCCATTTGCGAATGATTGCACCAACTGTTGTCACCTTCTCACCAAGCTGCTTAGCGATAGTTTGGTAGCCCAGTCCAGCCTTGTGTAGGTCTACAATATTGTCCCTGATATGCTTGGACAGCTCTTTGGTCTTTGCCATGGTGGAGAGTTTGGAATCTGATTGTTTGATTGCTCCTGTGGACAGGTGTTTTTTATACAGGTAACAAAATGAAATTAGCAGCACTCCCTTTAAGAGATTGCTTCTAATCTCAGCTTGTTACCTGTATGAAAGACACCTGGTAGCCAGAAATCCTGCTGAATGATAGAGGATCAAATACTTATTTCCCTCATGAACATGCAAATCAGTGCATAATTTGTTAGACATGCATTTCTTCTGAACTTTTTTTTGCTATTCTGTCTCTCAGTGTTACAGTACACCTACCATTCGATTTTTAGACTGATCATTTTTTTCTGAGTGGGCAAACTCAGAAAGGGGATCAGCAGGGGTTCAAATACTTATTTCCTTCACTGCCATTTTTCACAGTTATTATTTAGATATTTTTTGTCATGTGGGAGAAATAGAACGTTTTTGTAGTTGGGTACAAGTGGGTGTGCCAAAGATGTGTTACGGCGCAATTCATATGTACATTTACATTTTCAAAATGCACAATGAAGCGTGTGCTTTCTTGTGAATTGCCATGTGTTTGGAAACACACAAATGTGAATGAATGGTAATTCAAGCAAGACACGCAAAATGTGTGTTTTCTTCTGTGCGCAAGCGTGACAAACATTGCCGTGCATTTTCAAAATCATGGCAAATTGTGCGTTTTCTGTGCGGGCTGCTGTGCATTCCGAAACGTGCAGATGTGAACGCAGCCTAAATGGCACTTTGAGCGTGCAGCATATTTGGTGGGCATTGCTGCATGTTTTCAAAATGCACATGTTTTCTGTGCGGGTTGTGTGTGTTGTAAATGCACAGATGCAAATGCTGTCTAAATGGCAACACATGACGTGCGTTTGACGCGTATTTCCGTAACACAGGTTGCCATACGTTCAGAAACATGCAGATGTGAATGATGGCGAATTGTTAATGACACCGCAAAGATTCTTGAGCTATACCTTGGGGCATTTATTATGCGTAGGGGCAGCCCATTCAAGCGTAAGGGCTGCCCTATATGCAATGCATGCTTACATGTGAATGCATGTTTACATGCTATACAAAATGTGAGTGGGAACGCGTGTTTCTGCTGTGCTCAGGTGTGAAGGAGATGTGCTAGGAAGGAAGTTTTTATGCAGCAAGGATGATCAGGGAGGAGAGATGAGGGTTAAAAAAAAACAAAAAAGCACTGCCTCAAAGCTCTTATCAAAGTTGTTGCAACCAAGACAAATGTATGACTTGCTGGCAATTTTACACTGAAGTCTATGGGAGTTGTGCGGTACAAGAATCACCCAAAAGTAGTGCAAGAAGTCGTTTTTTTTGCTACAGCGACTCAAGTCATGCCATTTAAGACAGTACCATTACATTCTCTGTGTTTTCTCTTGACCTGAGATATTACATGTTGCCAAAATGTCAATGAAAAATCTCTCTAGTGTGGAAAAGGGCTCAAGGTTACTGAAACCAAGCAGGTTCTTAATGAATGTAACAAGCTATTAGCAGTTAACAGATATGCAACTCAATCCACATACGTCCTACAGCTACAACTGACAGCAGGAATACTCATCTTTGCATTTAACATAGAACCTGCACAGTATATTAGTAACGATTCACCTTACAAACTGAACAATGTATATGTTTTCTCAATTCAAGTAATTCAAGATTACACAAGTCATGTTATGTCTCTCGTGTGATTGTTTCAAAGAGGGCAAAACAGCAGTTCCACCAATAAAGTATTTCAAGAAAAACACCCACAGCATTCTGTGCATTAGACAAGGCATGCTGTTCAGGCCATTCCCCACTCATGAGAACACTCTATGTAGTATAAGGGATGTCAGGGCTACGCCAGCGGTTGCCAGCCACCAGTACCATATTTGTTCAATTTTCGCTGAGCAGTTTCTATGTTGAAAAATAATTTTTTTCTCTCAATAGGGTGATATTTACTTGGTTCTTCTATTCCTCAAATGTAGGGGGGTTTGGGGATATCCATTTCTGAGCAATTCATTTATGGGCTATAAATAGTACTTTGACAATAGGAACATAGATGTTCTCAGGTAGAGAAGATTCATCTAGGTCAGTGGTCACTAAATGGCAGACCATTGTCCAGAATCGGACCAAGGGACAGTCCTGTCCGGACCGCAGCCATGCCACTTCCACAGTTGGGTATCCTCTTTCAGGCCCCTCCCTGAGCCACCAATGGGGGTGTGAGGAGCTGCAGATCAGGACTGATGGGCGGGAGCTGGTGATTACCCAGCTTGACAGAAAGTGGGAGTCTTTTCATATTAGCAAGCCAGGCAATCGCCCAGCTTGTTAACAGAAAGTGGGAGCTTTTCATATTAGCAAGCCCCATCTGCAGCTCTTCCCACCCCCACCCTGTTATTAACATAATGGAATTTGGGACACCCCAGAAGCTCCCGCCCCTCATAGGACTGTGCCTTGCATTAAAAGGGGATCTGCATGTTAAAGGAAGCTTCCCACCCCCATGGGCGTGCTGTTATGAGGATGACATGTGGTATTAAGGGGGCTGTATGAGCGCCCAGGCACAGCCAAAAGGGAAGACAAGGGTACCAGGACAGCGACAACCAAAAGGAAATTTCCAGGGGTGCAGCCCTCCTCAGACGGGGAAATCTGCCACTGGATAGAAAGAAAACACAGGTAGGACTGTGCTAGGGTGCATTATCCTTGCACTAACGCAGGGTATCCATTTTGTGATGTCCATCATCACAAAATTACTGCGTGTAGTGAGTGCAAAACGTGGCCAGTCAATGAGTCATCAGCTCTGAGGTTGGATTCGGCGAAACGCATCAGCCATTTGACCGCACTGACTGGGAACACCTTGAGCCGTTGTGGCCATTGTCATTTTATTTTCTATGCTTTTTAGATACATGCTTATGAGTATGTTTTTATGATTTAATTCCTACAATAAACCTTGGATAATGCACTAGGTGGGTGTTATGTTGTGTTAAGGGGCGCTGTGTTGTGTTAGGGGTGCTGTATTGTGTTAAGGGGCACCGTGTTGTGTTAAGGGGCACCGTGTTGTGTTAAGGGGCACCGTGTTGTGTTAACCTCCCTGGAGGTATTCCTGAGTGTAGCTCGGGGTAAAGTTTCAGCACCACAAGCGGTAACCCCAAGCTACACTCAGGAATACCCTGCAGCATTGCTCTGGGATCCCTCGATCACTTACCTTGTCCTTCGCTCCCGCGATGTACCCCGTGCAGCGTCCCCGGCCATCTCCTCCGGCCGATGCCGGCATCCGTCTTCCGGGTTCCATTCCCTGTGACATCGAGATGTACGGGGGCGAAACCAGCAGGAAATTTAAATATTTTAAAAAGTGACATTCACTAATACATTAAAATCACATAGTAAAACATTACTGTATCAAAGCATTTCATATCAATTTTCTCCCTAGTGCTTTGTCCTGTGCCCTGCCTGCATTTTTTACTGCATTTTTACATTTTTACATTTCTTTTTGCCTGGAAACTGAGAAACGTCCATGGCGTCCAAAAAACGTCCCTTTAGGTCAAAAGCGGTTTTAGACCAGCTAAAGAACAGCGATAGTAAATTAGAACTGCTTGCAGAATTGAGTGATAATGATTTGCGGGGAAATTTGTCATCAGACACTGAAAACTATTTTGCGACTTTGCTCAGCAATGTGTGAACGTGGCGCTATATTTCAAATTTCAGTGTTTTTGGTTTGATTACATTATTGAATTAAATGTATTATCATATTATTATTTTTTATGATTATTTAAATTCTAATTTATGATTTTTCGTGTTTCAAATTTTAACATACCTGGGATGTTTACTAGACTCTTGTTCAGACAGATTTCAGTGAGTTATTCCTAAGAATTACAGGCCTACAATAAAAAAACAACATATTTCCATGCAAACAAAATGTACCGCTTTGAGCACAGAAATACTGACATAATCATACCGCTAGGGAGGCTACGGAGCGCTGTGTTGTGTTAAGGAGGGCTGTGTTGTGTTAAGGGGCACTGCAATGTAAAGGGGGGCAGTGATGTTAAGGGGAACTGAGGACACTATGGGACATATTTAAAGAGGGGACTGTGATGTAGAGGGGGCTATAGTGTGAAGTGGTACGCTAAAGATGATACTGTACCAGGGGACTGTGATGTGTTATATCACTAACGAGATTCGGACCTCTGCTGGAAGGAAATTTTGCTGATCGAACCTCTGTAAATTTTAATTCAAGACCCCTGATCTAGGTTATCAGCCAGGGATATCTGGAGAACTGTATATATAGTATTTATCGCATTCTTCCAATAACAATGGAATTTTGGGCACCTCCACAGCATGTAAATGAAACCAGTTGGGGTTCCATTACACATTGGGCAATTAGGAGTTTCCCTCTCCGGAGGGACATATGTTCTGTGCAAAAGAAACAGTTGGGTAAGCCTTTGTGTTGAGGATGGACACTAACTGCAGCGCAGCCAATGCAGCTTCCTACTGGTCCTCCAAGATCTGACCTAAATCCATCTCCCAGGTGCTTTTAGCCAGTATTTACCCCTTTTTGGAGTCACTGCTCAACAATAGTGCAATCACAGAAGATTTCTGCATCTTCATAGTGTTAGTGCGCATTTGAGTCTGAATAGCATGCCTTATCTGTAAATATTGAAAAAAAATCTTTGCCTGGGCATAGCAAATTCTGCACATCATTTTTCGAAAGGTTTTAAAGGTATTCTCATACAACTGACAGTGGTACCTAATCCATTGACTGTACCACAAATCAAAGCCTTTCAACTTGTATAACGCCACATATTCTGCATTATTCCAAATCGGAGTACAATGCGTGTAACCTTTATTTAAATATGTGTATATCACCTAACCCCAAAAACCCCTCAAAAAGTCACGCTTTCTCCCCAGAAAGCAACACAGTATTATAACCTTTTTGAAATTATATAAACAAATTCAAATAGATGAATATAATAATAAAGTTCAAAAATTGAGTATAATAAAAAAAATTCAAAAATGAAAAAATAAATAAAAAAGTAAATAAAAAAGTCCAATGCAAAGTGTCCCAAAATGTCCCGATACAAACAAAAATAGTGTCAAACAGAAATGGTGTCCGAAAAATTGTCCAAATATCCAAATTTTATTCATCCAATCAGAAGAAATTCCCTTTCATCCCGTAATACCTCAAAAAAAAGACAAATTCAGAAATCTAGTGCATTACCTTTATAATATATTCTCTCCGTGCAAAAACAAAACACAAAAACACAAAAATGTGCAAACACTATATATGTGTATCTCTTCCGTGCACATGTGAATGAACTGTGACCACTCAGTGAACACTGCAACACTGTGTATCCACCAACACCAATAGTATTAATTACTATTACCCTCTGTATCCATATACCAGCATCCAAATGAGATCTTCTAAATGCTCCAATGAAATTATTCCAAGGTCCTCAAAAGACAAGAAGGGTCTCAAGGCTCATATTCAAGGTGTAATAAAAAGATTTAATAAGAACTTACATTAAAATTTCATTATTCCGGCTTCCAACATGCTTCCTATGTGAGTCCTATCAAACAAATGCGATATGCCATGTGTTGACAACCCACAAAATGGCCGCGGCGACACTTCCGGTCTGCGTGCGTGCGTCACTACGTCACACCCTTTTGGTTCGGGGGGGGGGGGGGGGGGGGGGGTCAGCAGCTGACTGGTTGCCATGCACAAATGCTCCAGATTCTGTCTGTTACCATTTTGATAACTTCCCCCCAATATCCCCAAATGAAAGGTAATACTAGCTGTATGGATACTGAATGTGTGTGTCATAATTTTATTCAATAATTTTAAGAGGAAAAAGAAAACTGTGAGCCCATTGCCTGCCACAATGGAGTCATTTTCATCTAATAAAAATATTTCATAAACTTTATTAGGACACAGTTTAGAGGTTAAAAAAAGTGCACTGCGTGCCATAAGATGCTGCCCTTAGTACCCGCTCCGTTATAGTGTGCAAACTGAACAGATACAAAGTGAGTGTGCTGCCTACCTACCTCAAGATTGTTCCCTTTGCACCTGCTTAGTAAGGTTGGCTATTATAGTGCAAAGGGCACCATTTTGTGTCAGGCAACGCACTCACTGACTTTTTTTTTAAACATTTGCAGATTAAAAAAAGTCACTGCCTACCACAGGATGATGCACTGTAATAGCCAACCTTAATGGGGAAAGGGTGCCCATTTTGCTAACCCGGCATACAAGACAGGAGAAGTGGGACTGTGCGGAGTCCATAAATACAGAATAAGTACAGATACCGAGAATTCCACCCAACATACAGGACAGGAGAAGTGGGACTGTGCAGAGGGTGTGGTTTCCTGTGGAGCAGCTGCAGGCTGTGTGGTGCTGACCTCCTCTGATGTCTGATATAAGCCCAGGGTTGGGCTGCCTTGGGCTGGGATGCCTCCCAGGAGAGTCCCAGGCTTCTTGACCTACACATGGAGATCTGGTGAAGCTGTGGTTGGTGGTGAAGCGGGAGGACAGAGTTCAGTGAATGGAAAGCAAATGGCAGAGACTGTGAGTAGATGTGGGAATGTTAGTGATGGAAAGTCCAGTGTGAGAAGTTCTGATAATACAGAGAAGATGAAGTCGGTCCAGCAGTGTGATAATGTCTCTCAGCAAAATGTGAGTTCTGGAATTGCAGCTCATGGCAGTCCGCCATTGCAGCCACAGCAAGCCCAGCAGAGCAATGCCCAGTCAGCTCAGTCTAAACAGCCATGTAATGTTGTCACCAAGCACACTCCAAGCTCTGGAGGAGCAGCTCAAGGCAGTCAGCCATTGCAGCCACAGCAAGCCCATGCCGTGCAGAGTGGAGCCCATGCTGTGCAGAGCGGAGCCCATGCCGTGCAGAGCAGGTCCCATCCAGTTCAGTCTAAACAGCAATGTAAGGCTGTCACCCAGCACACTCCAAGCTCTAGAGGAGCAACTCAAGGCAGTCCGCCGTTACAATCATAGCAAGCCCAGCAGAGCAAAGCCAAGTCAGTTCAGTCTAAACAGCAATGTGATGTTGTTAACCGGCCTAGTTCAAGCCTTGGAGGTCCAACTCCAGGCAGTCCGCCATTACAGGTACCACAAGCCCAGCAGAGCAAAGTCCATGCCGTGCGGAGCCCATGCCGTGCAGAGCGGGGCCCATCTAGTTCAGTCTAAACAGCAATGTAAGGTTGTCACCCAGCGCATTCCAAGCTCTGGGAGTGCAACTCATGGCAGTCAGCCATTACAGCCACAGCAATCCCAGCAGAGCGGAGCTCAGTCAGTTCTGTTTAAGCAGCAATGTAATGTCACCCTGCACAGTCCAAGCCATGGAGGTCTAACTCCATGCAGTCCGCCATTACAGGCACTGCAAGCCCAGAAGAGCGGAGCCCATGCCGTGCAGAGCAAAGCTCATTCAGTTCAGTCCAAACAGCACACTCTAAGCTCTGGATGTACAACTCAAGGCGGTCAGCCATTGCAGCATGCCCAGCAGAGCAGAGTCCAGTCAGTTCAGTCTAACCAGCAATGTGATGTTCTTACCCAGCCCAGTCCAAGCCATGGAAGTCCAACTCCATGCCATCAGCCATTACAGCCACAGAAAGCCCAGCAGAGCAGGGCCCATGCCGTCCAGAGCGGAGTCGGGGCCCATGCCGTCCAGAGAGGAGTCCATACAGTCCATGCGGCTCAGAAATGTGAGGTTGTCACCCAGCACACTCCGAGCTCTGGAACTGCAACTCAAAGCAGTCAGTCAATGCAACAAAAGCAGGCCCAGCAAAGCAGAGTGGAGCTCACACAGTTCATATGGCTCAGGAAAGTGACACTGTCACCCAGCACACTCCAAGCTCTGGAGTTGCGACAAAAGGCAGTCAGCCATTACAACCAAAGCAAGCCCAGAAGAGTGGAGCCCAATGCCGCACAGAGCCCAGCACAGGCCGTTCAGAGCGGGGCCCATACAGTTCAGAGTGGAGTAGAGACATCTGTCACTCCCAGTACTCCGCACAAATGTGCAAGGACTACGTTGGAGCAGAAAACCTTGAAGGAGAACTTACAGCAGTGTGTAATGGTGGGCAATGGCCAAGAACATTCATTACGCTCCAGGTCCCAGCAGAAGAAAGATGATGCAGCCAATAAACCTCCACAGTCCGCCCTGGAGAGTCCTTCTACACCCGGCAGGGACCCTCTGCCCAGTATTGCTGATGGGGATCATGATTTCAAGTGTCCTGCAGATAGGAAGTAGAAAGTGTTAAAGTCATCACCTGTGCTGTACCTGGCTAGAAGGATGCCTGCTCTGTCAGAGAGAATGAAGACCCTGAGGAAAGCTAAGGCTAAGATCCAGAAACAGATTGACTCCATCTACAGACTCAAGGCTGCCAACCCCAAGAAAGAAGTCCAATATGACAGCAAGCTTAACTCCCTGGGCATTGAACTGGCCGGTATATCAAAGGACATTGATGCTGTTCTGGAAGAAATGGGACTAGTGGCGGAGGCGTATCGGGATTGCGATCGGGAGGCACAATTAAGTGTGAAGATGGAGTCTTGTTCAGAGTCAGACTCTGGGGAACTGATCCAAGGCACGCTACCAGCAAATGTGCTTCCTGAAAGACAGACTCCAGCTCTGGAGGATAGCGGTAGTGTC